AGTTGGTATCTTAACAATTAATACTTTGCTAATACAAATTAGCTATACAAGAGGTAAAAGAGAAAAATAACATGAGAATATTAAAAGAAGCTAATAAAGCAAATATAGCCTATGAATTGTCGGGAGAAGAGGGTAAGTTAACAGGCAAAGATGAAGAAAGACTTTTTAAGTTGTTAAAAAAAATAGGAAAGGGTAAAAGTATTAGTAAAGAATTTAGTAAATATGATTATAATACACGAAAGTTCTTACTAGTAACAGTAACTGATACACATGGAGGTAGAATTGAAAGGTTCACACTATTACATTACGCTAAATTTTGCAAGAATGAACGAGCCACGAGAGATATTTTAGAGGAAGCTAAAAAACATGAGCTTTCTGAGGAGGTTAATAATGAGAAAATAGTTTCACACTACTTAGGGAGTCATGGAAAACTAATACATACATATAGTGCTGTTGAAGATGGTATAGTAAGGGTAACAGATTTTAAGGACTGGAGTAATAAGAAAGTGATGAACCCAAATGTAACAACTGCTACATTAGACATACCAAGTAATATTACATCATTGAAAAGTGACGAAGAAGGAAAAAACTCGTTAATAGAAACTATTATGGAAGGATCAGTGACTTGTAATGTTTCAGAAGATATTGAAGAAGTTTCAGATAGGTATAAAGAAAAATTTTATGGAGAACAACAAGAAGAAACCACAGAAACTGACACTCAGCCGTGCAAGAAGATTAATAATGGTGAAGATTATGAAAGGAATGAAGAAAATCAAGGGAATTTCGCCAGCTCAGGAATAAAGGTGGTAAAGGAGACACATGATTTCAAAGGTCTTTCTTCCAACTTTTATGTTAACGATAAATCTTGCAAAATTGCAGATAAAGAATCATCAACAAAAACGATTCAACAGAGAGCTATTCTGGTTGGTGTCGTTGGGGTAGCACTACTGGTAAGTGGTATTGTATCACATATTATAAAAATGCATACTATAGCAGTAGTTGGAATGATTGCTGGGTTGGCGTGCATAAGTTTTGCGTTGTATAGTACCCTAGAACCGAGTACAAAGCTAGAAAAGGTAGAAGAGCTCTTCCAATCCAACGCAAAGT